CTAGTTCTCACATTAGCTCATTAAATATCTCTCTTATCTATAGATTGGTTATTGATTATTTGCATTGACAGTTTTATGTTTCGGGATTTGGTTTATCTTGTCGAACATTTCATGTGTACTTAAAGAATGTGTATCCACTTTTGTTGAGTGAAGTGTTCTACAAATTGCAATTAGGTCACTTTGATTGATAGTGTTGTCTAAGTTTTCCATATTCTTGCTGATCTTTTGTCTACTTGTTCTATGGATTACTGAGAAAAGAGCATTGATATCTCCAAATACAATCATGGATTTCTCCATTTCTCTTTTCACTACAATCAGCATTTTACTTCATGTATTTTAAGGCTCTGATGTTAAGTGCATTGACATTCAGGATTATTGTGGCTTCCCGGTAAGTTGACCCTTTTATCAAAGTGTAACATCCTTCTGTACAGTGTCTACTTTTCCTTGCTCTGAAATCTACTTGGTATGATATTAACTCTAGCTTTCTAGCACTCAAGCTTTTTTTTTTTTGGAACAGCTTTGTAACAGCATTATCAAGATAGAATACATACACAATTCATCCACTTAAAGTTTACAATTCAATGTTTTCTAGTATATCATAGAGCTGTGCAACTTCCATCACAATCAACTTTTGAATATTTTCATCATCACAGAAGGAAACTTTGTACTCTTTAGCCATCACCACCAGTACCCTCATCTCTCCCAATGCTAGAAATCACTAATATGCTTTCAGTTTCCGTAGATTTGCCTATGTTGGACATTTCATACAAATGGACTCAGACAATATGTCATCTCTTGTGACTGGCTTCTTTTCTTCAGCATAATATTTTCAAGGTTCATCCATACTGTAGCATTGTATCAGCACTTTATTCCTTCTAAAACCTTTTAAAATTTTGTTTAATTTACATAAACTTCACCTTTTGATGTATAGTTCTAGCACTTTACAAACAGAACGGTTCTCTTATCCCCCAGCCCTGCAAAAAAATCTCCCTTTAGAGTCACTCTCCCTTTCCCTCCATTCCTCATTGAAACCCAACACATAAACTTCAACAACCCCATTCTGTAATCCTTGGGAATTCTCAATCTTTGATCCACTACAGACTCCTAGTCAATGACTACCAACAGCCCTTTAAAAATGAATCCCCTGAGCCTCAGATTCACTTCCCCAAACCTGGGCCAACCTCCCCCAAGAGTGATTCCCCAGTCCTCCTCACCTGGGACACAAGCCCAGAGCTCAAAAGCGACCAGGCCTCCTCGACTCCCTCCAGGCCACACCAGACGCTGCTATAGCTCCCTACACACTTCCAACTCTGGCCCACAGCAGTGTAGGTTCTGTTGGCACTGGGGGGCCAAGGGCCACTTCCCTGCTCTCTCCTCACAGTGCCTTCACGGGGCTGAGGCATCGTGCCACACCCGCTGGACTCCCTGCCTGCCATTACCACGCACAGAAGCAGCAGTGGCTTGCCAATACCCACAAGGCGTCTGCCCAGGTACACGGATTTTGCAGTGTGGCCCAGTGAGGCAACATGGCCGCGCCCCAGTCACTTCTTACTACTAGAAGCGGACATTTTCAAAAATGTGCCATGCAGGGGTAAAACTACCGGTTTCTTTGGCCAGAGGCCCACTTCGGCAGAGCCGATTGTAACAGCTCCAGCAGCACCATCCACACAGCTGCGCAGCATGCTCCGCCTAACACATGGGCGTGATCAACATTTTTTGAATGAGTAAAACACCAACCCATCCCTCCACGGACCTTCCTATTAATTTGCTCTCACAGACACCCCCATTACCAGTGAACTCCCCCTAACTACTCCCTAAGCACCGATTCCCTGGACACCCAGTCACTCATCTAACCCCTCATCCCCAGAAAGTAATTGGTACTAACAAACTCTACCAATCACTGAAACGCAGAAGTGCTCCGATAACGTTGACCCTCACAGTACTCCATAACTTTTTCTGTTCCAGAACCTGAAGTGGCTTTTCTTGTGTACACTCCCCTCAGCGCGTTCAGGGGGCGCCAGTGATGTAACAAAGATCTACCCAAACCTGCCTTTTTCTATAGCCTTGACCTTTCTAAATTTGGGTCATCTAGGAGACTTTCTCAAAAGTTTTTTTCCTTGAAAAAATTAGAAATTTGCCTACAGGCATACTCTAAGCAGATACAAGGAAGGAGCCCTAGGGATTGGGAAAGCCACAAACTCAACTCAACCCCCTACAGACATTTCCCCATTTTAACCCGCATGGATAAAAGGCTGCAACTCCCCAGCTGCCAGGAATTTGACAATATGGTTCCATCTTCTGTCCTGCCTACTGCTGAAGCCAGATCTTCATTGCTTATGTTAGGGGAAAAAAGTTTGTTTCCTATCTCAAGCCAGTGATCAGCCAAAAGAAAAATAAATCAAGGGTGTCTAACAAAGGGGAAAAATCATCCTCTAGCAATAGATATTTTTATAAAGCATATGTACTAGTAGACTATTCTAGTAGCAGCTGGCTTCAGCCAACAAAAATGAAGGATTCTGTATACTTTCATTAAAATTGAAGCATTTAATGAATTAAATATATACAAATCTAATCATTAGTTTCATGGTTTGGTATAAGGGGAATGAAACAAAAAGGCTGCATGGGGGGTGTGATATCTGACCATTAAACATTGGGATGGTACACAGACTATCCAGCCTCTTTTAGTATCTGTTCAAAAATTTGGGGGGGAAATGAGTGGCACTCTTCTAAGTCACCAAATTGATTTTGCTAATTGCCATGAACTACTTCTGATTTCAGAAGAATAGTTGCCAAGACAGTTGCTTCAGACATAAGCCACCTCAGCACAAAGGATGACAATAATAATTCAATCTACCACTTATACAATGCTCCAGGCACAGTTCTAAATGCTTTACAACATCGTTATTTAATCTTCACAAGAACTCGAGATAAGAGACTTTATTATTTCATCACACAGATGAGGAAACTGAGGCACAGAGAGGACATGTAACTTGCCCATGGCCACAGTTATTACGTAGTAAAAGTGGGATTGAATCCAGGCAGTATGCCACCCAAGTCTGTGCTTTTATCCACTATTCTATATACCACTCACAGTATATCTTCCAGTGGGTGCTGCATAAAATATTTAAGAGACAGTTCCCACAAGCAGCCTTAGGTTAATCCAGGCCTCAGTTCCTTCAATATTATCCTCTTCTATCCTGTTATGTGTAACTTCTAGTGACTGCACTGTCCAAATGAAAATTTGTAGGAAAATAAACAGCCATATCTGAATCCATCTCAAAATTTGTTACTCAGTATTTTGGCATTCCTGAACTATATCGACATAATAAAAGTCCTTCCTATTAATATGTTGCTAGATATTTCAAGAGGTTAAGGTAATGGGAACATGGCACTGTATCCATGATATATCAAATTCTACTATAATTGGTGCCTGTTTTCCAAAGCAAGTGAGCTAAGCATATTTAAGTATGTGTTTAATTCCACTGAAAAGAGAACTGAAGAATGAGCTCTCTAGGTATCTTACTTAGAGAGAACTCCTTTTCAACCCCCCTCGATAGAGTATGCTTAAATATCAGTTACAGATTGCCCAGCTGTAGATAAAAGAAAAACCCAAATAACTATGGCTTATACACATACGGGTTTTTATTTGTCTCAAGTAACAAGAAGCCTGGAGGTAAACTGTCCAAGACTGGTGCAGGGACTCTGACACCATTAACAGCTCAGACTCCTTCTTTTCTGCTTCGTCATCTCTGTGTAACTTTCAAACTCATGGTAGCAAGATGGCTTCTGCTTATCCAGATATTGTGACCACATTCTCGTCAGGAAGAAGAAAGAAGACGAAGTGCAAAATGTTCGTGCAGCTCAGATGTACCCTATATAATTAAAAAAGAAAAAAAATTTCCAGAAGCCAAACCCATTGGACTACTGATCTTAAATCTCCTTGGCCAGAACTGGGTCATATGACTACTTCTAGCTAAAATGGGGCGAGGGAAAATACATATTTAAATTTTTTACTAGGCACAGTGCTACCCTACATAGAATTGGAGTTTCTTATACTTAGGCAGAGGGAGAGAATAGATATTGAGTCAGCCACTAGTAGTGTCTGCTATGGCTGATAAAGGAGTTCACACTTCCTTTTGGTTTTTTAATTCCATCTTATGTTTCTTTTGCCTTTGTATATGTCACATGAACAGATCTGAAGAAGCTTAGTAACAGCTGGTGGCCTATTTAAATAAGCCATCAAACGTTAGGAAATAAAACATATGTTTTGACTTATTGTTATATAATATCATGCTACTCTTTAAATATTGTTCGTATTTTGGTATATTGTGAAAAATTGTCTGTGCCTCATGTGGTATGTGCATATTTTACACTCTGTTATTTTCATAGATGTATTTTCCAAATACATAAAATTCTTATTATATAACATAGCCAGGAAAGCAAACCACATATACTTGAGGGACTATTAGACCATTTATGACATTTTTAAAGCATCATGATCTTCCGTGAACATGTCTACCCTTTGTAGTAGAATATTTTATATAATATTTTCAAAAGTAATACACCATATCTGTAACAGGATTTTCCTTCTAATTTTTTAAATAGGAATACATTGTTCCAGGTGTATTAAATTCGTGAGATTACAAAACTACTTCATAAGGTTTCTCCTCAGTGTGAAGCCTGTGAAATTCAGTGAAGTTGGCCTTCTTGGTGAAGGCATACCCACATTCAGTAAATTCATAGATTTTCATTCCAAAACACATTCCTTAGTAATCATTCACTGGGAGGGACATTTCCAGAGTCATCAAGTTCAGAGGCTTTTTCCTCAAAGTGAATTTTCTGATGAGTAATGAGGTATGCCTTCCGAACAAATGCTTTCCCACTGTTAACCAAAATGAGAGGCTTTATGAGGCAAAGACAAGTTTTGAAGAAAAGAGAGGCTTTATTAGGTTTGCAAACTGGGGAAGTACACCTCAACTGGCAAGTTGATAGGTGAGCACCTCCTCGGTCTTGGGGTGCCTGGTTTTTAAAGACATAAAGTGCAGAGTACGCAAGGTTAAGGCAGAGTCCAGTTCAGATTGGTTGCCCTTTCCAGCTACAGTTTATCTTGTGCCCAGGGCTTTCTAAATGTCCTAACTGCAGGGAAAAACTACCTCATTGTTCTCCAGCCATCTAGTGACAGTCAAGGTTAAAATGTAATTTTTTATTTCTGCCCATAGTTCAGGTAGGTAGTCATGGTAACCATCATGTCAACTCTGGTCTCTTTCTTATCTCTTTCTTTTGTCCACATTCCTGGCACCAAAATGGTTTCTCTTCTGTGTGAAATCTCCATTGTATAAAGAGATAAGCCTTCTGGGAGAATGCTTTTCCACATTCATTGCATTTGTAGGGTTTCTCCCCAAGATGAACTTTCTGTTGTGTGATGAGGTTAAGTTTATGGCAGAAGGCTTTCCCACATCCAGTACATTCATAGTGTTTCTCCTTTGAATGAATTTTCTGATGTTTGTTGAGGACTGATTTCTTACTGAACAATTTCCCACATTCACTGCATCCATAGGGTTTTTCTCCTGTACAAGTTCTCTGATGTATAACTAGCTGTAACTTCCTGATAAAGGCTTTCACACATTCACTGCATCCATGCGGTTTCTCTCCTGTGTGAGTTCTGCTTGTTAAGAAGGATTGATTTCTGACTGAAGGCTTTTCCACAGTTACTGCACCCAGAGGGTTTATCACCCATATGCATTTTCTGATGTATTATAAGGTGTGATTTCTTACTGAAGCCTTTTCCACATTCACTAGAGTCATAGGATTTTTCTCCTGCATGAGTTTTCTGATGGAAATGAGGTATGATATATTGCTGAAGGCTTGCCCATATTCACTGCAATCATAAGATTTTCTCCTGTGTGAATTCTCTGATGTTTAATGACATCTGATGAGTGAGAAAAGGCTTTCATGCATTCACTGCATCCATAGGGTTTTTCTCCAGTATGCATTCTCTGATGTTTAATGAGGTGTGATTTCTCACTGAAGGCTCTGCCACATTTGTTACATTCATAGAGTTTCTCACCAGTGTGAATTCTCTGATGTCTAATGAGATATGACTTCTGGGCAAAGCTTTTCCCACATTCATTGCATTCACAGGGTTTCTCCCCAAGGTGAGTTCACTGATGAGTAATCAGGTATGATTTCTGAGCAAAGGATTTTCCACAGTCTCTACAATCATAGGGCTTCTCACTTATGTAAACTGTCTAATGTTTAGTGAGGTAAGCTTTCTGGGAAAAGCTTTTCCCCTACTCAATGCATTTGAAGTGTTTTACCCCACAGTGACTTTGCTGATATGTAATGAGATATGACTTCTGAGCAAGGCTTTCCTGCATTGATTGCATTCATAGGGCTTCTCATCTATGTGACATTTCTGGTGTTTAATGAGATAAGCCTATGGGAGAACACTTTCCCACATTTACTACATCCAAAAGGTTTTTCTCTTGTGTAAATTCTTTGATGTTTAATGAGGCCTGACTTCTCACTGAAGGCTTTCCCACATTCACTGCATCCATAGGGTCTCTCTCCTGTATGAATTCTCTGATGTCTAGTGAGTATTGACTTTGTGGTGTAGCCTTTCCCACATTCACTACATTAATAGGGTTGCTCTCCTGTATGACTTCTTTGATGTCTAATGAGACTTGACTTCTAGAAGCTGGCTTTTCCACATTCACTACAGATAGGGAGCACTTCCAGTGTGAAATCCCTGATGTACAATGAGACATGACTCATGACTGAAGGCTTCACCACATTCATTGCATCCATAGGGCTTCTTTCCAGAACGAATTTGCTGATGTATAAGGAGATTACCCTACTGGATGAAGCCTTTTCCACATTCACTGAATATCTAGGGTTGCTCTCCTGTATGAGTTTTCTGTTGTAGAATGAGCTGAGACTTCTTGGAGAAAGCTTTCCCACACTCACTGCACCTGTGGGGTTTTAGTCCTCTCTCAGTTCACTGATGTATAGTGAGCTCTGTTTTCCTATAGAAGACTTTACCACATTTAAGGCATTTATATGGTTTCTCTCCTGTATGAGTTCTCCGATGTACAGTGAGCTGAAACTTCCTGGAGAAATTTTTCCCACATATCCTGCATCCATGGGGCTTTTTTCCTGTATGAGTTCTCTGACGTTCAGCGAGCAGAGACCTTCTGATAAAGACTTTCCCACACTCCGTGCATCCATAGAGTTTCTTTCCTTTTTCAGTTTGATGTATAATGAGTCGTGAATTGGTGCTGATGGTGTTTCCATTACTTTTAATTCCAGTGTAACATTTTTCATGCTTTGTATAAAGAAATGATTTCTCATATCTATTAAAATTATCAGGATTCTTCACTGCACAGCTTTTATGCTGGTTAACTAAATCTAAATTAGAGTTCAGTACGTCAAATGTATCATGACTTTGCCTTAAAGTAACAAGTTTTCTACACAGATAAAAAATATTTCCAGATGAACTGTGTTCATGCCCTCTTTCCATATTGTTAAACTTGTTTTGCATTTCCAAGGGCCACTGCATATGATCATCAACTTCTCCAACTTCTAGGAAAGAAAGTAATTATTTCACAATCACATTATAGAATAAAACTGCTTCTAAAATACAATGGTTTGGGGGGGCTCTTTGGACAATTCTACTGTCATATGAAAGAAATCATTAGGTGTAAATTTACTTCTTGGACATGAGGGGAAATACAATGAAATAAAGCCATAACATACAAAAAAAAGTTGATACAGAATCAATGGTAGACAATTCCCACTCAGTAAAGTTTTGGCTGCTCTCCAAATAGCTCCTTTCAAAACGGGCAAAGAAGATGAAACAGAAATGCATCTCATTAACATGAGATAAAATAAGTTGGAGAAATATCAGATCTAGCATGATGGGGGATGTATCCATACATTCCACCAAAATTTATTGAATGTCTATTATGTACCATGCACTGTAGTAGTGTTTGGATATAAATGAAAGAGAAACACAGTCTCTGCATCCTACTGGGAAAAACAGAAGAAAATGGAAGCAAAGAAATAAAACAACTGCAGACTGAAAAGTGGTTCAAAGGACATGAAAAAGAATAATGAGAGTTCGTCATCATTAAATAGGTAATTGGCTATGAGAAAATACAAGTTGAGCCAAGAAACTAGGAATAAAAGAATGAACAATCTCAGGTAAAAATTACAAGAAGTTTTTGTTTGAGTACAACAGCAGTGCAAAGGCCCTGAGACAGGAAAGGTTTGGGCCAGATCAAGAAATAGAAAGGTAGCCAGTAGGCCCTGAATGGAACAGCTAAATAGGAAGAAGGAAGAGTTGAAGTTGAAAAGATAGAAAGAAGTTAGATCATGTAGATCTGGTAGCAGGAATCTGAATTTGATGCTAAGACCAGTGACAAGCCACTAGGAGTTTAAGTGGGGTGTCACATTCTGACTTACATTTCCAAAAGGTTTCTGACTGTTGTATGGATATTGATGGGAATGATACTCCCAACACTTCCTGAGTTCTGTATTTATATATCTTAGTTGCCATATATCTGGCATCTGTCAATTAAGGACTCCTCATCCTGGGTCAAGAAACTTGGGCACTTAATCTTCCATTTATCTTAGAACCACTTGTGAAACAATTTAGAATCATCCAGGTGAAAGCCAGGTTACCAAGAATGAGAGAAAAAATAACTCTCTCTCTCTCTATCATGCAGAGTAAAATGCCTTGCTGAATGTTCACACTGTCAAATACACCCAATTTCCATTCCACTATTTTCTCAATAAAAAAACATCTATAATGGCCTTTGATAGCTTACTGCTTTGAGCCAATCTATTAAATATTCTACTTCACCTTGCCTATTCCCAATTTCACACGAAGTTTCTTGGACTCCATCATCTACTTTATTCAAAAACATGATAAATGCCTCTCATTTTGGGCTATTAAATGTGTGCACGCACACACACACACTCTTCCATTTACTATTCCTGTACCCATCTATCTCATTTCAGTAAATGGCAAGTCCATTCCATAAGCTGCTTAGGTCAAAAAACTTAGGCATTCATCTTTCTTCTTCATACCTGATATCCAGTCTCCTTGCTAATTCTGTCACTTCTATCTTTTACATGCATCACAAGTCTGATCTTTTCTCATGAACCCCACTGCTTCCACAAAAGACCAAACCAGCACAATCTCTTGACTGAAGTACTGCAATACCTCCTCGCTGGTCACCTATCTGCACCCACGTCCACTTACATCTATTTTTCAGCCTAAGGCTAAACAATCCTTTTAAAACATTAGCCAGATCATGTCACTCTTCTGCCCTAAACCATTCAATAGCTCTCAGGTCATTCTGAAAAAAATCCTAAGTCCTTAAAATGGCCTGCAAGACCCTGCATCATGTGGGCCCCTTTCTGACATCATGTCCTATCATTTCCCTCTTGATCACTCTGCTATCCACACAGGCTTCCTTGATAGTCCTCAAACATACCAAGCACACCTCTGCCTCAGGACCTGGCTCTGCTAGTACACTCTTCCCAGACCTACAAATGCGTTATCACTCACTTCACTCAGCCACCTTAGCAGAGCAGAGAGGCACTGCCTGCCCATCATTTATAAAACATCAGGCCCTCCCACGGCTTGACACTCATTACCCCCCTATATTGTTCCTCACTGCTCTAATTACCACCAGAAGAATGTATGTATTTATTTGTGTACCTCCCCCAATTAGAATGCAAGCTCTGTGAGAATAAGAACTTAATCTCTTTTATTCTCTGCTATAGCCACAGAATACAAAGCATACTACACAGCAGCACCTATTAGGAACTAAAGATACTGATGAATGAATGAATCAATGAAACAATCATATGTGTAGAGGAAACTGTAGAGATCAGTTTAAATGAGGCTGACTTTGAATTGAGGGAATGGAGAGAAAACTCTATATTGTATTTTGGAGTCCCTTGATCACAGAGGGATTTAAATATCATATAGTTGGTAATAGGGTTATAACTAGGAGCTTTTAGACTAGGAAAATTAAACCAAGAGTAACAACTAAGACGAATCAAGAGAAAAATCTGATCTAGCAAATATATGGAGAAATCAGCAAAGTATGCATGAGCTTTATGGTCTGATTTCAGGTGGGACATAAGATTGTGAATTTTTTGTTTTTGTGTTTTTTTATTTAAGTGAATTCCTTTATTTAAGTATACTTGGGAGCTATAATTCATTCTGAAAATTACACTACTTACAGCTCTTCCTTTACTATTTTATTATAAAAATTTTCAAACACACAAACTGAAAGACAAACAGTGAACAGCCATATACTCACCTTCATGATTCTACAGTTAGCATTTTGCTACATTTTCTTTATCTCATGTTTACCCATCTGGAATGAGGAAACAGATACATGTACATTAAAAGACCAGATTACCATGGGATCACAACATCCAAAGTGGGGCTGAAAGCTAGGAAGGGAAATCAATATCACCCAATGAGGCAGAAAGGTTCACTAGCCAGAAGACAGTGACAAATTCAAAGTTCTTTCTTCGCAGAAAGGTATGGAAGGCTGGATTTCCAAAGCAAGGGAAGAGGAAGGAACATGTAATGGTACTATAGCAGGCAATGAAGAAGGGAAAGATTTGAGAATCCTCAGAAAGAAAAATATCTAAGCAAAACAAATCAAGATCCTAGATAAAATAAATCAAGATCAAATCCAGAGGTGAGAACATAGGGGTATTTTCCTCTAAATGCTTAAGCAATGAATATTAACACAGGACAGTAATAACCAGAGGCTCTGATAAGATATCCTTAGACATCGTCAAAAGTACAGAAACTATGAGTCACCTCAACGCTATTTCAAAGGTGTGACACCTTCACAAATGTAGGAATTTACTTCTTTTCTCTTCTACCTGGATGCTTCTCATTCACTTACCTGGAAAGCTCTGACCATGCATTTTTTCCTTTTGTATCCAGGGTTTGTCTCCTTGCTCCAATTTGAAGATTTCAATTGGCTGGGTACTTTGATACCCTATTCATGAAAAATAACAGAATATTTGGAAAAATATATTTTGGCATGAGATCTGAACATTGTTAAGTGATACCTTTTATAGACTGTACAAGTGCACCTTGGAAAAGAGCTTTCCCTTAGGAGTAGGGGAAACATACTCCCTGTCTGGGGCCAGAGAGGAGACTGAGAAGCGATCCCTCATAAAATTCAAGTCTTATCTAGGGGTCAGCAAATTATGGTCCATGGTTGTAACTAAGAATAGTTTTTACATTTTAAAAGAGTTATAAAGAAAAACAAAGAATATATTACAGAGACAGTAGGTAGCCCCAATAGCCTACAGTATTTACTATTTGGCCTTTTGCAGAAAAAGTTTGACAATCTCTCTTACATTATTCAGCACTTCAGATATCCCCCAAAATCATTCCACAATTGTGAAAGGAAAGACTGCTGATCAGGCACCATCAGTGACACAAGGAAGCAGCCCTTACCCAGTGACACCAGGTTGCTACAGTTCTCCAATATCACATCCTGGTACATCACATCCTTCTGAGCAGGGTCCAGTAGCCTCCACTCCTCCCAGGTGAACTCCACAGCTACATCTTCAAATAACAATGATCCCTGTAGTAATAAACTCTTCTTTAATCTGAGGTGATTATTTGATAGTTTGGAAGAGATGTACAGAAATCCATTCTAATCATTTCTACTATATAGGCTGTATCTATATAAGTAAGTTTACATTATATATTGTGGAAGAAAGGAAAGTCTTATACAGACATCCTGCTACTGTAATTTAGTCATCCATTCACTCAATAATTCAGAAAGTTTTCTAAAGTGTGGTCAATAAAAATTCTTGTTAACCTGAACATATTTTCTGTCTGTGTGTGTGTACACTGAACTACATGCAGGTGATAACAAAATGAACACTTGCCTTCTTGCCTTCAAGGAGCCTTCACTGTAGGCAAGTTCAACAGAAACAATAAACACCAGAACCAAACACGAAAAACCTGAAGATGCTGGAATTGTAAGTCACTGAATATAAAGTATGTTTAATATGTGGAAAGGTATAACAGAGACTATTAAAGATGAATGAGCTAATTTCAGGAAACAAAGATGAATTCTCAAAATAAGAAATACAGTCATTGAAATTAGAAATTCAAACTATAGACTGACTGCAAATTAGATATAACTGAGAGAGAATTGGTGAACTAGTCAACAGATCTGAAGTATAAAAGAACTAAAATAGAAAATACAAAAGCAAGGTTGAGAAATATGAAGGAAAGAATGAGAATGTTGAATTTACATCTAAACTGAGTTTGAGGGAAGAATAGAAAAATTGAGAGAAGGTAATAACCAAAGATGTGAGGGCAGAGAATTTTTTAGAACTGATAAATGACACCAAACCTCAGGACCAGGAAACCCAACAATTCCAAGCAGGATCAGGAAAAAGATATCCACCCCTAGACATATGGAAGTAAAACTGCAGAATACCAAACTCAAAAGGAAAATTCAAAACTATCCAAGGGAAAGAGATAGATACCTAACAAAAGAATAACAAATATAATTTATTGACAGCTGAGTTCTCAACAGGAACAATGGAAGCCTGAAAATGAATGGAATAATATTTTCAAAGTGCTGGGTGAAATAACTTTCAATCAAGAGTTTTATATTTACTAGTCTATCTTAATATTATATGTAGATTTCTCCTATTGTTTTTAATGAGGTTGTGGTGATTCTCTTAGATTAGATCTAAAATTGTCTTAGATACATGGAAATATATGCAGCCAAATTATCTGAAGATAGGGAATAATATTCCTCCTTTTTTCCAAATTTATCTCTCTTTTTCTCTTTTCTTGTCTAGTATTTCCAAACAATGTGGTGTCACTGGACATCCTTGTCTTGTTCCAGACTTTAAGTGACATATCAAGGGGGATATGGAAATTTGTGAGGATATTTCAGACTGTCACACTGACTGGGGCCCTATGGTATTTAATGGTAAGGGACCAAGGACGCTTTATATCCCATAAAGCACATGACAGTCACAACAGGAAGAACTGTCAAGCTCAAAATGTCAATAGTATCCATAGCCTCCCATTGAGAAATGTTGGTACAGTAAATTATATTGCATTCCAAAATAAAACCTAAAAATATTTGAAGGAATAAAAAAAGTCCATTATCCCACAATAAAAAAGTTATAATGGGGGCTGGCCCCATGGCCTACTGGTTAAGTTCAGTATGCTCTGCTTAGGCGGCCTGGGTTTGGTTCCCAGGCATGGACCTACACCACTCATCAGCAGCCACACTGTGACAGCAACCCACATACAAAATAGAGGAAGACTGACACAGCAGTTAGCTCAGGGCGAATCTTCCCCAGCAAAAAAAAAAAGTTATAATGCCTGGTACCCTATCAAAAATTACCAGATATGCAAAGAGAGAAAACATCACCCATAAGAGGAGAAAGAATCATCAACAGAAACAAAACCAGAAATGACACATATAATAGAATTAGTAGACAAAGATATTAAAACAGGTATTATAAAAGCATGTTTAAGAAGGTAGACAAAAGCATGGCATGATAAGGCGTAATATGGAAGATATAAAATAGACCCAATTCCAACTCTAGAAATGAAAAAAACATGTCTAAGAAGAACAATATATTCATTGGATGTAATTAATAGCAGATTAGACACTGCAGAAGAAAATAGTGAACTTGAAGACATAGCAATAGAAACTATTCAGTATGAAACAGATGCACAGGCGCGCGCACACACACACGCACATACACAAACACACATAGGAAACAGAGAAACAGCGAGAGGAAACCTCTTCTTGCATATACCAGAAATCTGCTATTGAAGCCACCGTCCACCCTAGGAAGGGTCATCAAGAAATTTACTAAAACTTCAGTGCCAGGAAATATTTACTTCTCTGAGGAAATGATCCATTTTCTCTGTACAAAAATGCAAATCATGTAACATTTTGTATTTCTCTTGCTGGAACTGGCTGCCAAAAATATTGGAAATAATCTGGTAGCTCAACATAAATAACCCCTAGGATCTTACAGGTTTTTTTTTTCTTTCTTTTTTTTTTTTTTTGTGAGGAAGATCAGCCCTGAGCTAACATCCGTGCTAATCCTCCTCTTTTTGCTGAGGAAGACCAGCTCTGAGCCAACATCTATTGCCAATCCTCCTTCTTTTGTTTCCCCAAAGCCCCCCAGTAGATAGTTGTACGTCATAGTTGCATATCCTTTTAGTTGCTGTATGTGGGGCGCGGCCTCAGCATGGCTGGAGAAGTGGTGCGTCAGTGCACGCCCGGGATCCGAACCCGGGCCACCAGTAGCGGAGTACGCGCACTTAACCACTAAGCCACCAGGCTGGCCCCTTATAGTTTTTTATTAGTACTCTGACCTTTAAAATTCTGAGCCGATTCTATGACCCGAACTTCCACCATTCCAAGTTTGCCTTGATATTGACATTATGGTTGATTTATTTTTCTTCAGATTCAGGCTTTTATCAATGTGTACTTTTCCAATTAATCAAATCCATTTTTATAAGCCTCCACAAATACATCAGAAAAGAAAAGGGAAATAATTAAATACGTAAAAATCACCCGGACCTTGGTCATCTTCTTTTGTTCTGAGAAAATGGCCAGTACCTGAGATCTCTGTCTTTTTACTCTTCTTGATTGTCACTGAAATTCTGGTCACAGATCTCACACCTCAAGTTAATGGTATCCCCAGAAATGATGCTCTCCTGGTCCTGGAACCTCCTTCTCCTTACTTCACTTGATTCTAAGGACTCAAAAGCAAATCCACTTTAAGTGGTACATTCTCTCAGGCCACCTTGTCAGTGTTGCTATAGGCAGAATCAGGTCCTTCCGACAAAGATATCTACATTCTATTCCCAGGAACCTGTGAGTATGTTACATCATATGGCAAAGGAGAATTAAGGTTGCTGATGAAATTACAGTTGCTAATCAGCTGACCTAAAAATAGGGAGATTTCTTGGATTATTTGGGTGGATACAATATAATTACAAGGGTCCTTATAAGTGGAAGAGGGAGGCAGAAGACACCAGAGAGACGTGATGTGACAAGAACTCCACACATCATTGCTGGCTTTGAAGATGAGGGGAAAGGGAGCCAGGAGCCAAGAAGTATGGGTGGCCTCTAGAAGCTGGAAAAGGCAAAGAAACAGATTTTCCCCCTAGAGCCTCTAGAAAAGAATGCACTCCTGCTGACACTTTGATTTTAGCCCAGTAAGATCCACATTGAACCTATAGAACTGCAATATAATAAACTTGTGTTGTTTAAGCCAATAAGTTTATGCTAACTTATTATAGAACCAATAGAAAACTAATATAGGTGTCCTCCAACATGAAATCTTCTAACATAAAAGTTTCCTTTTGTTTAGAAAACCACAAGATTTAGACCTCAAGGCAGTGCAAACAGTACGAAGATTAACATGCTAAGCAAATGATAAGCGTTTTCTTATTTAATCCTCACCACCAAGCGAGGAGTACCAAATCACTAGATCCATTTTTAAACAAAGGAAGCCAAGATTTAAAACTTGGAGATAAAGTATCCTGTCCAGAGTCACACACTTTCTAAGAGGCAGTGCTGGGATTCAAAACCAAGGTCTTTTTCTCTTCAAAAGCTCACCACTTTAACCACTATTGTACTTTCTTAACCAGACCACTTCACAGTCAAAGTTCAGTTCTCTGTAGAACTGCCTGAAAAGTTTACTGCCCATAATGTCACACCAAAAGGTAGCATATAGCCATAGTACATAACTGCACTTCTAGAAACAGCTCTTAGAACACTTAATGCACGCATGCACACAAACAGAGCAACCTTCTTCCACAGAGAAACAGAAAAGGAGCATGTCCCAACACTCACTTCAAAGCAGCCAATCAAAGAAAAACAAGGAGTCAGAAAGATTCACATTATAAGGTCACTAACTCAGTGGAGTTACCTTGAGTTTTTGCTTCCACTCCTTCTGGCCACAAATCTTTCTAAGACAATTTCCCCATACCTTTTCTAAATCCCCATACCCACAGAACTCTACAGCAACTGTTCTTTGACCTCTGGGTACACGCAGTCCCCCTTGATCTCCAACATAGAATCACTTTACTCTAAGTACCAGGACTATCAGATCTGCCTCCTTGTAGCACCAAGCCAAGGAAAAAGGTATAAAATTATTTATAGGACTACTAAGGACTACAAACTGTAATTATACAACTATTTAAGGACTATTCACAGGAAGGACGACATGATACAACATCTTGGACGCATCCAAATTTTAATACTCCCTATCTATGAGCCCTCATGTCCCTCTTACCAGGAATGGGTAGAATTTCCTGATGATTTCTTGGCATTATGCACACTCACTTCAATGGAGAAACTCCTATTGCCCTAGAAAGAGCATCTGCCTTTCCAGAATATACACATACGAACATAAAAATGTAAATCTTTACAGAGCAAAGTAGGCCATAGAAAGACATTTCACAAATTTCAAAAGTTAATATCAAAGAAGCTTATTCATTGACCACAATGAAATGTGGTCAATCAACAGTAATGAGAAACTCAACAAATTAATAGAAATAGAAACAAAAACCCGCATATCTAGAAAACGCACATTAAAAACCTTCAAATTGGGCCAGCCCCATGGCTTAGTGGTTAAGTGCGCGCACTCCACTGCTGGCAGCCCGGGTTCAGATCCCGGGCGTGCACCCACGCACTGCTTCTCCGGCCATGTTGGGGCCGCGTCCCACATACAGCAACTAGAAGGATGTGCAGCTATGACATACAACAATCTACTGGGGCTTTGGGGGGAAAAAATAAATTAAAAAAAAAAAACAAACCTTCAAATTAAAAAGGCAATATAAATGAAAACTCTGAATTATTTTGTATTAAATGGCAATGAAAATATAATATATGTAAACCTATATTGGAGTATAAGAAGGAAATTTAGCTTTTAAATATTTTTTAGAAGTGATATTGAAAATAAATGAACCAAGCATTCACCCTTGAAAGTAGTGGGCTGAGATCTGGGAAAAAGTCAAATCCAGAGAAGTGACTCTTTCAGTTGGGGCCACTTTCACCATGGGGTCCCCACCAATAACAGGAGCAGTGGTTTGGAGACTGAGCTGTGTTTGTGGCAACAAAACAGTTAGAGGAACACAAGTGAAGAGTTCAGGATCTACCAAGGTCAGGGGCCCTGGAAACTCCAGCTCTTTGACTTGAGATCCTGAACATAGTGCCCTAAAAATAAAGGTGGGCTGTAGCCCAACCTCAAATCATTGAGTGAGCCAGAAAATTCTTAATCCCCTAAGGAAATATGAACTTGGATTGCTAGGACCCATAAGCACCTGGGAGAAGCAGGGGAAAACAATCCTCTCTTTGGAGAGATAAAACCATCCTTGCCTTCTCAATATTTCTACACCTAATACATAAGAATAAAGAAATATTGAAAGGATTTTAAAAGATATAACATGAAAACATTAACGAAAATAAAGAGGACTTCAAGGGAAAAAATAATTAATATGACAGAGGAGTATTTCATAATGATACAAGGTTCTTACCAGGACCATCTAACAATTAACTACATGAATTTAAAATATATAAAGCAAAAACCAACAGAACTGCAAGAAGAAATAGAAAAATCTCATTTACAGTAACAAATTTTAATGTATCTCTCTTACTTAGTGAAAGAATAAAAGCAGATAAAAAATTAAGAATGAAGAATATAACAACGTGAACAGTAAACATGACTTAAGGGTCATGAATAGAGCTGACATTCATCAAGAAGATACACACACACTTTTCAAGTACATGTGAAACTTTTACAAAAACTGATCATATATTTAGCCAGAAGACAAGTCTCCACTCATTTCAAAGGACTGAAATAATACAGAGCATGTTCTCCAACTGTCATGTCATTAACTTAAAAAATCAATGGCAGAAAGAAAACTGAGAAATCCTCATGTATTTGAAAATTATTAAATAACACACGGGTCAAAGAAGAAAACACAATGGAAATTAGAAAATACTTTAAACTTAACGTGGTAGGCAGAATTTTTAAGATGGCCCCATGATTTCTGGTTTCTGGTGTCATCCCCTGTATAATCATCTTCCCTTGAGTGTGGGCAGGATCTGTGCCTTACTTCTAGCCAACAGAATACACCAAAGGTGATGTGATATCACTCCTATAATTATGTTACATTATATAAGACTGTGTCTTAGCAGACTGGAATGTGATTCTGTCCTGCTGGTCTTGCAGAAGCAAAGAGCCATGTTACGAGCTGTCCATGAAGAAGGCCATGTGAAGAGAAACTACAGGAGGTCCCTAGCACCTGAGGTGGCCTACCAGCTGATGGTCAGCAAAAAGCAAGGGCCTGCAGTCACACAGCAGCAAGAAAATGAATTCTACCAACAACTTGAGCGACTTCGGAAGCAAATTCTTCCCCAGTTGAGCCTCCAAATGAGAACGAGTCTGGCTGACATCATGATTACAGCCTTGTGAGACCGACAGCGGAAGACCCAGCTAAACTGTACCTGGACTTCTGACCAAAGAAACTGTCAGATAACAAGTGTGTGTTGTTTTAAACTGCTAAGTAATTTGTTACACAGCAAGAGAAAACTAATAAACTGAATGATATAGAAAATTTTAAATATGAAAACTAGTGAGAAGCAGCTAAAGTAGCTCATGGAGAGAAATTTATACCCTAGTGTATGCTATATACTTTTAAATACATTAGTTCACTTAATTTCTCAATATCACTTGGAAAGACTCATTCAAGGCACATGGCTAAGAGGAAAAACACTATTAAAAAGACAGGTTTGTTCATGCCACTTACTCTCGAGCCGAAATTATTTGCAGATAACTAAGACTGCTCAACTAGAAAATGTAAAGGAACCCACTGAAACGTTCACTTTCAGTAATATCAAGAGCAATTCAATTGCTCTATTCAATTGCAAAAAATTTAGAAGCAGGGAATTTTTTTAAAAGGCACTACTTATAATTGCAAAGAAGTATAAACCACCTAGGAATAAATGTGACCACAAATGTCTGAGACATACATGAACAAAGACTCAATAAATCCTAGGGGTTGGTGGGAGAATTTGGATAAGCAGGGAATCACAATGTGTTGCAGAAAACTATAACTGAATATAGAAGTCAAGCCAATCCAAAGTAATGTAAACATTTAACATGACTCTAGTCACCTTGCCACTAGTTCATTCATCTGATGTGACACTATTGCAGCCATTAAGAAAATCTGTAATAGAATTGTTTATAATTAGAAATTAAGTGATAAAATCAAACGATATCTATGTTATATCTATGTTATATTGGAATGATGACACGGATCATTCCAAATTGAAGGCAGCGTAAAAAGATTTAAAACACACACACACAATGGTTTTCACTGATCAGAGCTTAGGGTAATGGAGATGTTTTCACTTGTGGAGAATGAACATGAAAGGAAATATCCAAGAAAACTGTAGAGTAAACCTGGAAACAAGAAAAACAAAACACATCTTTTATAACATCATTAGACCATATCTAACTACCTTGTTTGTTAGGAAGATAATGACTAGAGTGTTTACGTGAGAAGACAAAGGAGTTTTTAATCAGTACCTTGAGGAAGAGATGGGCTTGAAGGAGTGAAGTGGATTTGGATCAGTTGGGTGAATGTATCAAGTGTGTTCCCAAGAGTCAACATTTGAAATTCAACCTCCAACTACCTACTCTTCAGGGACCCTGGCTCTCCAAAGCTCCAGCCTCATGTCTCTCCACAGACATACACTGGCCTCCCCTGGAACAAACAAAAAAAACAACAAAAAAAACTGACTTCAAGTGAAACGTGAAATCTGAACCAGAAACCCCCAATCATTAACACCCTTCCCCCAGGCTTCTCCATGGCCTAGCCCCACAGTGAATCGAGAACCTGGACAAGACACCGCGTTCACTGATACACACCTACCACTCCGGTTGATAATCACTGACCCCATAAGCAGAATCATCCACACCAACAACAAATTCTGACAGGCGGACCCTCAGTCGTTAGTCTCTTCATATGCTTAATACTGACCGCCAAACGGCCGATTACCAAAGCCAGGATTCCCCCAGAGACTGAACCAAAAGAAACTCCCAGAACCGCCCTTCACTGGCCTCACTCTGGAGCCACGCAGACCCCGACCCTCCTGCTACTGAGCTTCTCAAGCCTCCACTGGCAGCTACTAAAGGCTGAACTCATTCCCAAAACGATACCGATTCGGGTGCTCTGGCGCAGAAGCCCCCTGTCTGGCTGTCACTAGGGACGCTTCTGGTCGGGCTTGGACCTCGGAGGCTTCGCCGGTGTTCGAGTTACGGCCACCGGCCGGCTCTATGACGTCACATGGCCACGCCCATCCCGGCGATTGGACCAAAGCGGCCATCGGCGGCTACGGCTCAGAGCGGTGAGAAAAAATGGAATCATTTTTGGGGCACCTCCTTGCCTTTCTCTCCTTGTTGAAGATCAACAGCACTGTGCTGAGTAAATTTTCAGAGGCCGGAGCATAGCCAAGGCCAACGTGGCGTGGGCCGTATTCTATTTAGTCTCTTGGGGCGCTCTGTAAGCCATAGCGGAGGAGCACCATGGGGGCGGCCATCTTACCGGAAGTCCCGTTCCCTAGGGCGGGGAAGATCGTCAGAGCTAAAGTTATGAGGAGCCTTTGGACAACCAACCACGTTTATAGGAGCCAGACGTTAAGAAAACGGCGGTCAGACTATGGACAAAACACTGGAGACTTCCAGTCCTGGTGAGATTTGGGAATAGGGTGCAGCTGCAGTGGAAATGAGTAAGGCCCGTCTGGAGGAGGTTAGTCAGAGACCTGTTGAAGGGGTGGAGCCAATGGTGAGGGTGGGGCTCTGTGAAAATCGATGCCCTCAGGGGCCTGGGAATGTAGGTACCTCTAGTAGGGAAGGGAGAGGTGTGAGGCTTCAAATATATGCAAATATTTCTGAAAACAACAAAAGGCATGTGAACAAACTTTTGGGACCCCTCTCCCTGGTCTAACAGGTGAATCTAGCAAGCAAAGTGCATAGGCTTTAAGTCAGTGCAATAAAAGTTCATGCTGTACTATGAAGGAGCCATTCAGGCCATCTTCAGCCTGTGTCAAAATGACTTTGCAACCTCTTACTTCATGACTGAAGATGTCAGCTGGAGAAATCATCAGCAAGAAAAGATCAAGGGTACCTCGCTCATACATCCCCAGCTGCATTTCTTAGAGATTGAAGTAATAACTAACGACCCTGGTCCTTGCCTCCTTCCACAGATAGATAACGTCAGTCTCTCAGAGCTTGTTTGATGTATAACCAAGAAATTCTTGTTTATGTTACCTTCAATATATAAGCTAGAGAAAACACAGATGTACCCTCTCCCTTTTGACCTATATGATTGTTAGATGCATAAGCCATAAGTCCTTCTACATGTACACTGCTAAGAAAACAGGGTTTATAAACTGCATTCAGATCTGTAGACCTTGGAGCAGTTCCATGGGAGCATTCTGCTGAACTGTTTCCTGCAGCTCAAGATCCTCACTTTGATTATTGAATAAACTCCTTCACTAATATTTACCTAGATTCTTTTTTTCAGTCAACAGGCATTTGAGAGTCAGATTAAATGATGAGATACGCTATTTGGTTTGGCATCATTCCCAAATAAAATACAGTCATGCATCACTTAACAACAGGCACTCTTAAGCGATTTCATCCTTGAGTGAACATCGTAGAGTGTACTTACACAAATCTAGATGGTATAGCCTATTAGACACCTAAGCTATATGGTACTAATCTTATGAGATCACCATCCTATATGCTGTCCGTCAACCAAAATTTTATGTGGCACAGGACTGTAAACAATAAGAAATATTAGCTATTACTTTATGCAGGCAAAGGAGGTAGGTAGCAGAGGATATAATCTGTACATTCTTTTTAGAGGGCAATTTAGAATTATCTAAACAATTTAAATTTTTCATTCTTGTTGATCTAGAAATTCCTATGCTAAGAATTTTTGTTAAAAATTCTTTATATTATCCACAGAAATTTTGTAAATTTTTTAAAAATTAGGAATAACCTGAATGTACATCAGCAGATGTAGTTTGGTAAATTAAACATCTCTCTTCAACAGAACAGTCTATAGCCATTACAAAGCTAATTATAGAATTACCAGTATTTTTTAAAAATGACTTCTTGAAAGGATGAAATATTGATCAGAACAGTATTTATAATATGATCTTGTTATGGCAAAAATTCATAAACACATGCATTTCAAAATTTTGAATGGATTAAAACATAATTTTGATTATATTTGGGGTTTGGGCTTGGAGATGGAGAGAATCTTCACTAAGTATGTATCCACTAAATTCTAATTAAAAGATTTTATTAACATAGCATCAAAACAGAGCCTTCTCTGCTCCCACAGCTCCTCAAACTCAGCAACTCTAAAATAGAAGTCCTTCTCCCCTCCAGACTGACTTTCCCCTTATTCTGTTTCTCACCTAGCAGTCACTATTACACAATAAATCAAGAATGGAGATGTGAGAGTTATCTGGATTGTAGGTTACTGGAGGTTGACATGAAAAGGTCAGAGCCTGCACCCAAAACATAACCTATGTGTCCTCGTCACACTGGCCACCAATTCCTGTTAATGCTGTCTCAAAAATAACTCCTGAACCACTCCCTCTAACCATCCTCATTGCTTTAGTCCATTTGTTTGAATTACTACTGAATATGCCACCTCACTGGTCCCTACAAGTAGGTGGCTCACCAACCACCATTTTTTCTATACCACAACCATCTTTATTTATCATACCCTCCATAAAACCCTGAATTAGTTTATTAATTACAGGCTAAAACAAGATCTCAAGAGAATGCTTTTAAGGCTGTACACAAACACCAAAGTTTCTCCCTTATCATCTTCCATTATTCTGCCCTTTCCAAATGCCTTGTGGTCTCATATACTAGCAGGAATTTGCAAATACTCTCCCTTCTTTGAAGTGCTTGGCACAAGGAAGCAATGAGAGGATATTAGATGCTATAGCTGTTCTTTCATGAGTCATTTTAGAGGTTGCTTCTTCAGATAGCATTCTGGGACACCTTCCAGGTCAGTCTCAATTACATTAATACAATACTTAAATATAAAATTGCAACTATAATAAGTGGTGCTAAGGATAGGAAGTAAAGAAGGCATCCAATAGAGAAAATAGAGAAGCATCTCCATACAGGGATGATTGAAGATCATTTGTCTTGCTAAACCATCATAATCTGCTGAGTTGAGTGCCCTCCAAAATGGACTATGAGGTCCTCAGACAGAAACTCGGTAATATTTTTGTATCCCCAGCGTTCAGAACAAAAACTTGAACAGAAAGCTTCAATAATGGACTGTTAAATGAGTACCTGAATTTGGCTTACAGGATAGTCTTCTTTTTCTCAGTTCCCTGCAAGGTGCTATGCTGCTGCTCAGTGATAATTAAATACAGCAGAGGTGCAAGAGAGTGTATATAGTGTGCTGTTTTTTGAAAAGAAAAGGGACAAAAAGTATCTACTTGCTTGTATTGACACAAAGAAACACTGGAAGGAGTTACAATAAACAAGTTTACCTGTAGGAAGCAGAAGGTCAAGGGAAAACTGGGACTGAGAACAGGGTAAGAGTGAGACTCATAAATGCACCTTTTTATATAGTTCTAAGTTTTGAACCATCTGCCTGTGTGACCTATTCAAACAATTTCAGTCAAATCCAGAGGGGGAATACACATCTAAATCCAGGAAATATATAACTACAAGTCAATAAAGTGCTTAAAAGGAGAGGAACATGGTTCTATGGAGGGCCAGAAATCGGGGAACCTGGCCTAGTGAGGGAAAGCTTCACTGAAGAAGTGATCATTGATGATGAAGGATGAAGGAGAGACCTAGAAGATGGGAGGAAAGAGGGATTCCTCCCTCACTAGGACTTTTATTAATTGCCTGTTGGCAGGCACTGTTCTAACTACATCTACTTCTCACAACAAACCTATAAAGCAGATATTTTACAGATAAACTGAGACATAGGTGACTTAAGTAACTTGCTCAAAGGCACATAGCTTGGGCTGGGAGGGCAGGATTCAAATCAGACAGTATGACTTTAGGACCTACTTCTAACCACTGTTCAAGGTGAAGGTGATCTTTATTCAAACCATAAAGAACCTGTGTCTGGTAGCAGGCTTAGGTGTGCACCGGGCCTCCTTCACCTGGGGATGCCAAGCTCTGAAAGGTGAGCTCAGCATGTGGCACTCAGGGCTCAGGGCAGCCTGGCTAGCCCATCCTGGGGCCCTGACTGAGCAGTTCCATGAGTGAACTGACCTGACCTTGCCATGGCCAGAAGGGAGAGTCACAGGACAAAAAGTGGAGGGGATCTGAGGGTCTGGTTAGTGGAACACTCATGACTGACTCTTTGCTGGAGAGTATCTGCCCTGAATCCATATCATTATAATGTGAGGGTGGTGATGGGGATGTAGGTTCAAAATTAGGTGTGCATCAGGCCCTCGTTAAAAAAGCAGAGTCCTGGACTCCAGCCCCAGAGTTCTGGGCAGGAAGCCTGTCTCATTAGAAACAGTCCTGGAATGTTCTCTGATTACAAATATTATGATGGGTGATTCCCCTCAGTACTTCAGGCTTAGCTAACATTTTATCTATCCAGAAAAGCCTTCCCCCTGGGAGGGGGAATCTCCCCCATTACTACCTACAGATTACTATAAATTACTGTCTATTGCTAGGCCTTATTTTTCTTCATAGGACATCACTTCCTGACATTTTGTAATCCATTTACTGTCTCTCTCCCTCATTAGACTGTAAGGTCCATAATGCTGTTCCTTTGCCTGTTTTGTTCACTGATGTATCCTCACTGTGTAATTCAGTGCCTGGCACAGTGATGATACTTTAAAATATTTCTAGAGGAGTAAATTACCCAAACCCATGATTTCAATTGAATTCTGAGACAGTCACAGCATAGCAAATGTCCATTTCTTTTCCTATGAGTAGGACTTACTGTTTGTAACTGGGATATCATATCCTCATGGCATCGATCACAGGAAAGAACTTTGGATAAAGGAGAAGGCAGACCCCACTCCCAAGATAGTGGGAAGGAAGGAGGGGGATAGGAAAAGTCACATGTCTCAATTCAGCAGGTCACAGAGGAGCTGGGATCTTTAAATGGCAACTTTCACAGGTGATAAGCCTGTGGACAAATTTAAGGATTCAACTCCAAGACGTTCTGAAAAGATCTCACCTCCTCCCACTTCCTGTACTCTCCAGAGGGTCTCATCTTGCTTTTTGTTTTCTTTATTCTAGGAATCATTTTCCTTTTCTGCTTTGTGCCTTTGTAATCAGTTATTAAGTCTCTCTGATCCCAAAGGAAAACTGTTTTGGGTGAGTCTGTTCTTTAGAACTGTCTTTCCCTTCAATGACAAAATACATTTTGATTAGCCCATTAGTTCATTCATTCACTTTCCAAATCTATATATAATTAGGGGTTTTTTCTATGTGCTAGAAAATATAAAATCATGGAAACCAGCACTCTCCAATATAACTTTCTGGTATAAAGGAAATGATGATAGAGATCTCCCTCATTGTCTCACCGTTTTGCTGTCTGTGCTGTCCAATTCTGTAGCCACTAGTCACATCTGACTGCTGAGTACTTGAAATGTGCCTAGTGTCACTGAGGGACTGATTTGTCTTCTTATTGGTTTTCAATTTTTTTAAACATTAAAATTTAAGTAAAGTGACTAAAATCAGGGAATTTATAATCTCCTGGTGGACGTAAGAAACAGGCATTTAAAAGATAACTCATTTGTGTTCTGTGGTGCTTAACTACCATTAAGAAGAGTCCTTCCTCAACCCCCCCAAAATAATATGCGCCTTTAACAATAAACTGTCATATTCCCTTGAACCAATTGCTCCATGTCCATTTCACTTAATGTAGATATTTACATCCTCTCACTAGATTAGTTGGAGTATAGAGATACCACTTAATGATAATCCAACTACCTCAGTGCTCTCTCCAGGAGTTGATGGGCTTTTTCTGTTTTGATCACCACTCTATCCTCAGCTCCTGGAACAGAACCAGGTACAAAGGAAGTATCTGACAAGTACTCAGTAAATGAACTAATTGACTCAATCTAAGGCTGTTGTTTCGTAAGTGCCTCTGCATAGTATAAACCTCTACGAGTTTATGGTAGACATCCAGTTTTCAATTAATCCTTCACCCTGCCCTGGGGAAATTGAATTGACATATACATGCCTTCCATCCCACCAATCCAATATTAGCCCCTTTCTGGTTTTTCATTCATAGCAACATTCCATATATAAATTATCTTGTATGTCTTAAAGATTCACTTATTTCCTCCACTTGGTTGAACTCAGGCTTCCTTCATCATTTAACTGACACAATAGAGCAATTGATGTAATGTGTTTGGGTTAACATCAGATTAGGCCTCTGTATCAATGCATATCCTGAATAGGATGAGGATATCAGGCTTTCCCAGTCCCGGTATTTATAGTTTCTCTCAGTATATACTTTTCAGCCATAATATGAGCTAGAAATTTTTGCTCAACCCTTTTCCATATAGAATGTCCCTGAGTTTTTTCCTACTGGTTTTCTGTGACATAAAATAAGACGTAATTGATCTCTGAAGGCACAACCACATTCACTGCATTCATAAGATATCTCTCCTGTGCAAACCCTGTGTTACCTCCTGAGGGGGCACATCTGGCCACGGGCTGTCCCACTATGACTACATTCCTATCTGCTAGGAGCCCACTGATGTTGACTGATGTCTGAGGGGCCACAGAAGGCACTTGCATAGTCACCATATTAACAACAGTTTTCTCCTGCAGGACAACACTGGTCTGTGATGATCTGTGACTCTCTGAGGGAGGACTGTCCACCTTGACTGAATGAATTTTCTGATGTTTATTGAGAACTGACTTCCCTCTGAATGATTTCCCACATTCATTGCATCCATAGGGTTTCTCTCCTGTGTGAGTCCTCTGATGTATAACGAGCTGTGACTTCCCGATAAAGCCTTTCCCGCATTCAGTGCATTTGAAAGGTTTCTCTCCTGTGTGAGTTCTTTGATGTTTAATGAGACCTGTCTTCTGGGAACAGGATTTTCCACATTCACTGCACACAAAGGGAGTCTTTCCTGTGTGAAATCTCTGATGTGCTGTGAGGCATGTCTTTTGGCTGAAGCCTTTTCCACATTCATTGCATATGTAAGGTTTCTCACCTGTATGAATCCGTAGATGTACCATGAGATTTCCCTTCTGTATGAAACCTTTCCCACATTCACCGCACATAAAGGGTTTCTCTCCTGTATGTGTTTTCTGATGTACGTTAAGCCGTGATTTCTTGAGAAAGGCTTTGCCACACTCAGGGCATACGTAAGGTTTTTCTCCTGTATGCGTTCTCTGGTGTTCAGTGAGCATGAACCTTCTAGAGAATGCTTTCCCACACAGACTACATTGATGGGGTTTCTCTCCGGTATGGAGATTCTGGTGATCAGTGAGCCAAGACTTCTTGATAAAGGCTTTCCCACATTCACTGCATACATGATGTTTCCTTATTTTTTGAGTTTTCTGATGCTTAATGACTTTAGACTTAGTGCTGATCAGTTTTTGGCTTTCAGGGAGTTTAATTTCAGTATGAAATTTTTCACTGTTAGTGTGGAAAAAGGATTTCCCATTTCCAGTAAGCTCAGCAGGGTTCTTTATTTCATAGCTTCTGCTCTGGTTAAGTAAATTTAAATGTGATTTCATACTTTTTCCATCTAAGTCCAGCATGTCCTGATTTTGCCTTAACACAAAATGAGTTCTGCTCCGATGACCAGAATTTTGAAATGTGTTATATTCCTGCCATTGTTCTAGGCTCTTCTCCATGCTTTCATTTTTTAAGTGCTTCAGCAGATGATCATCAAGTTTCCAAATTTCTAGGAAAGAAAACAATGAATTCTTCCATCATCTTGATTTGGAATAAAGGTATTTTTAAAAATACCTTGATGTTAGGTGTCTTTTCAGTAATGACCTGATGCTATAAGTGTAAATAAAACCCCCTGTTAATGTTCCTTCGACATTGGAAAAAACAGTTATAATGAATAAACACAAATTTGGCTACTTTCTAAATAATGCCTTGCAAAACATGCAAAGACTGTAAAATACAAGCAATTTACTGTGAGCAGCAGACCACGGGTTGGAGGGCCACCTCTTCCAAACTGGTGAGGGACACACTCATTCACTGCACACATCCTTACTAATGACTACATGGTGCTGGCGTTGGGGATACACAAGCATATTCCTCATGGGCATGGAGCCTGCACTGCAGTTTAGTAAAAACACTTAAAGGGAAAAGACAGACACAAGGAAAACAGCTGCAGGTTGTGAAAACTGGTGGGAAGGAGCAATGGCGATGGGTAGAGGTGGAAGAAATCAAGTTACATTGTGGAGGAAGCCAGACCTCACTGGTGGGTTCATTGTTGTGGTCAGCTTGGGGAAGAGTAAAGAGAGTGACACAGCAGAGAGCTCTAAGCACATCTAACTTGAAATCTCCACCTTGGAGAGGTGTTCTCTTTCCTAAAAGGGTAGCCTTAGCCCCAGCCCCTACTGTTCCATTATGCTGACTTAATTTCATCACAGTATTTTCACCCCCTTGACATGTTATTTATTTTTTTTATTTGATTAATTTTATGTCTCTTCCTCTTAGAATGAAAGCTCTTGGTCTATTTGTATGCTTTTTCTCACTGCTCTTGCTCTCCAGCACACACTAGGCTATCAAAAAATAATTTATAAAGGGATGAATCAAGTAAGCAACCACATGTATGGAACATATTGAGGAATTTAGGAAAGAAGACGGAAATCTGTGTGAACAAGATAACACTATATCACGGAGATCACTGAAAGAATTTCATGTTATATGACAGCAACGTGGTTAACTAGGACTTAATGTCATCAGAATATGATGGGGAAAAAAATGAAAGCTTTCAGGAAATGAATACAATGGTAACATCTACAATAAAGTAGAAGGAAGATCAGAATTAGTAAATTCACAAAGGAATTAATTCAAAGTAGGCAAGAGTTATGATCTGGTTTAGGCTGGAACTGAGAACGCAGGATGTTAAAATATCTTTTCTAGTTAAAATACATCATGAACAGCCCACTCCTTTAAAGAAGGAAGCTCTGTAGGTAGGGACATTTGAGGTAATGCCTGGATGGCCAGGTTGTAAGATGCACAAGAGTAAACGAGAACCTAAACTTAACAAGGATTTTCTAGTGAGAAAGATGATTCTAGGTCCTTGCAGTTATTGGGAACTCAGGAGAGTTGCCATCGAGGTGAGTAAATTTTATAGAACTAAAGTCTGGTGGATCACATTGGGTCAATTTGCGAGTTTTCCCCAGCAAACGGAAGGAGCTTAGCTTATTAGAAGGAAGAAAACTTTGAAGGATTAGGAGATCAGATGAGAAAATGGAAAACAGAACCTTTGGAGAACCTCAGCGTGGGGAGGAAGGCACAGTGAGGACCACTTTACTTTCGAGGAATAGCATGCAAGATGGGGTGGATATAAGGAAGGGAAATCAACATTAACAATAGTACAGAAAAGTGCAGTGGTCAGAAGACAGGAATTCCAAGTTTCTCTCTGGAGAGAGGCCTTGGAAGGTGAAATTTCATAGCAAGGAGGTGGAAGAATCTGAAGAAGGGAAAGATTTGAGAATCCTAGGAAGAAAACTATGCAAACAAACAAAAAATCAAGATGCAGATAAAATAAATGAGTAACAGATCCCAGAAGAGATAAAGGGATATATTTTTCTCCAAACTCCTACAAAGAAAAAGAGGTCTCACATGGGGAGAGACATGCATGGAGGCTCTGTTTACCTATCCTTTAACACCCTTCACCACTGTGACTCTTCTCTGAATGACTAGAATGTGATTTCCACAGCCTGCTCTTGCGGGTTCTCTCACTCACCTGAATGGGTTCCACAGTGGATTTCATCTCCCATTGTCCATGATGGTTCTCCTTGATCCACCTTGGAGAGTGTGTCTGGTCTGCTGGCTTGATAACCTGTTCCTGGGAAATGACGGAAGACTTAGACACACTGAATTGGACATGGGGCCTGTGAAGACCGCAGAATGTTGTATTTGAGGACAAAACAATTTTCACACCTACAAAGTACAAGCTTTCTCTCAGGAGAAGGAAGAATATGTCCACTTCTCTGGGGCCAGAGAGGGGACTGAGAATTTACCACTTCAGAGCACCACAGACACTCCAGAATTTTCAGAAGCTGAGAATGGAAAGGCCACTGACTGGGGACCCTCTGAGTGACACGGGGGAGCTGTCCTCACCCAGTGACACCAGGTTGCTGTAGTTCTCCAACATCACGTGCCGGTACAGGTCCTTCTGAGCAGGGGCCAGGAGCTGCCACTCCTCCCAGGTGAAGTCCACAGCCACATCGTCAAATGTCAAGGATTCCTATCATAACATAGGGCTGTTTAATAAAGTGATGTCCTTTTGATAATATGGAAGAAATGTTCAAGTTTTTCTGCTTATTTCCACTCTCTAGGTTGCATCTAGATATCTAGTGTGGTTTTTATCTTAATATATCATTGAAGAAGCAAATGCCTAATAAAATATTCTGTAATTGTGCATTCAGTCATCCATCCATTCATCAGTTGGAAGTTTCTACAATGTGTAGAAGTTAAATCTTCTTGTTAACCTAGAACACCACATTCATATTTATATGACAGACAAAAGATACATGTATGCATACTTTTCAGATTAATGGAAGTAATATTTTACAGGCCTCCATAAATCCACTAGAGAACAAAGGAAAGAATAAAACAAAGCAAAAGTCACCTGGGCCTGGGTCATTTTCTCCACTTTTCTGAAAACAGCTGGCAACAGGGAGGCTCTGTCTTGGTGTTTTCCAGATCTGCTCTAAATTTCTGTCCAGAAATCTCAGTCTTCAATCAAATGTGTCCTCAGAAATAGTGTTACCAAATCCTGTAAATTCTTCCTCCTTCACATGATTCTTTTGCTCCTGGGGAGTCAGAGCCTGTGGGCTGCGGAGAAAATTCAATCAGTGGTCAATTTCCTCTGGGCCCAGATTCCTCACTGCTCCTGAGCACTCAACTTTAACACAATGCCCACAAGTATTGCTAAGTGTCCCTTTATTTGGTACCCCAGAAGATTTTATACCTCTGACCAATAAAGCCTAAGATTCTGAATGTGGTGGAGGTATTCCTTTACTCTGTGAAGTTTAAGTGGGGTGTCTGTCAAAGGAGACTGGGAAATGAGATCCACCATAGCACCATGCCTCAGGAGCAGATGAATCTCAGGCAGATCATTTATACAAAACAGTCCATCTGGAAGGAGAGGATCTGGGCATTGTTTTCCTTTAAACCACGCATGCTTAGGTATCTCTTCAAATGTTTTTGTACACCCCGTGAGTACACACATTTCAGTTTGAAAACCAAGGTACTGGGCGAATCAGAAGCATTGTCTTATAAGCAATAATGATAATATCTTAGGAGGTTTTAAGTACATAAAAAATTAAAATACACGATAATAGCATATAAATTAGAGGGTGGTAAATGAAGTTGAAGTGCTCCAAGGTCCCTGTATTGTCAGAGAAGAGTGTAAAAGTACTAATTAACATAAGAATTTGACAAAGTAAGATTCCATGCTGTATGTAATCTCTAGTGTCCTGATGAAAACTAATAATTTTCTTAAAGTATGTAACTTGCAGTGCTACAGAACAGGCAAATGTAATAATAAGAAACTCATCCAAAAGAAAGTACGATTCTGATACCAATTCAAATATGTGTGTTTTTTAAACAAACCACCAAGCAATGCTGCAACACCAGCTGGGTGTCCTACAATTCAACTCACTTCTGACACTGTCTACCTTGAGGTAGCATCTGATCCTACAGGTTAAAGGCTCAATCCTACAAGACTGCCCCCCACCTCCTACTTCAGACACAAACACAAGTCCAGGTTGTCACCTGTGCTTCTGATCAACCAGCTACAGATTGAAGGTTCCAGTAACCCCCTCCCTGAGTTGACTGATTTGCTAGAGCACCTCACAGAACTCAGAGAAACATTTTACTCACTATATTTACTTATTATAAAAGGATATAACTCAGGAACAGCCAGATGAAAGATGCATAGGGCAAGGAAGGTATGGGGAAAGAGTGAGAAGCTTCCATCCCTCTCCAGGAGCGCCACTCTCCCTACATCGCCACATGTTCACCAACCCGGAAGCAATTTCACTCTGAAGTATACATCTAAGATATATATCCCTCCAAAAATAAGGACATATTTGAACCAGAAGACATGGACAAGAATTTTCATAGCAGCATTATTCATAATAAGCCAAAATGCAAACAATACACGTTTAACAAATAGTAGGAAAAACTGCCATATATTCAAATGGAATGCTATGGAGAAACTACAATCTTTTCCCAGCTTGCAAGCTAAGAATGCTTTTCACATTTTTAAAGAATTGTAAAACAAAAACAAAGAAGCATATGTGAGAGACCTCCTTTGGCCTACAATTCCTAAAATATTGACTGTGTAAACATTATAGACTAGGTTTGCCTGACCCTTGTTACATAGCAAAAAAAAGACACCTATGTGCAAAAACATCAATGATTCTTACAATTGTTGAGCAAAAGCAGCCTGACATAAAAAAATACATGATGTATAATTACACTGAAACAGTTAAAAATAGGCACAACTAAATAAAATATAATTATAATGAATGATTAATTATATGGCAAAACTATAAAGAAAAGCCTTAAAGTGCATGGTATCGAGAGCAGGATAGTAATTACCTTTGGGTGTGAGGATGTGATACAATTGGGAAAAGACTCACAGAACACCACTGAGGTGCTGGCAATGTCCTGTTTCTTGACCTGGGCAATACTATTTAGAGATATATTGCTTTTATACTGATGAACTTGTAGATCTTTTAAATTAACAAAGAAATGAAAGAGCTCAACAATACTAAAAGCCCGTTATTTGAAAAGACCAATAATATAGACATATTTGTAGTCAGACAAATATGTATAGAGTCAAAAGAGAAAATGCAAATAAAGAATAAAAGGAATTAATGAGAGATATGACTCAGATAAAAATATATATTTTTTTCTCTGAAAGGATATTATGAATATATTTATCTCATTAAATTTGAAATTCTAGTTTAACCCTCCTGAAAACATGTTAACTCCAGACAATAAAGCAGGTGAATTTTATGGGTGGGCAACAAGACAAAGATGTCCACTACCACCCCACTTTTCAACTCTGTATTGCAGAGTTGAGCCAATGCACTGAGATACAAATAAGTTATAAACATTAGAAAGTAGAACAGAAAGGTTATTTTCATGGATATCATCACCGACATGAGACTCCTCAAAAAGAGACTCAAAGAATTACTCATTTAAAAGAGAAAATGCTCCTCCAGAAACCCCCAAGCAGATCTTCACATACATAACTGGCTAGAACTGCACCATATTCCTAAGGTCATTTCATAGTAATTCAGTCACTAGCAATGGGAGCTGGAACCACCATGATTGACTAAGACCAACTCCGACTTACTAACAAACTAGGATATGGGTCACTTTGTCAGACGGTTGGATACTTAACAAATTGGAGATTCTGTTAACAAAGAAGAAAGTGTGAATGTATGTCAGACAAGTAAGCAACAGTGCCCGTTGCTATATATTAAGAGCTGAGTCTAGGTGCTGGCAAACATTTTCTGCAAAGAGACAGATATGCATTTTCGACTTTGGGGGCCAAAAAGTCTCTGTCACAAAAACTCAATCCTGCCTTTGAAGGGCGAAAGCAACCATAGACGATACATAACAGACGTGCGTTGCTGGTTTAGTCCCTCGATCTGTAAGCAATCAACTCCTGAATTAAAGGCTAAAAAAACAGATGGTTTCGAACTACTGCCCTGGGCTGTACCGCCTTTTGTCCCAGCGGCCGAGGTTGGAACCTCAACCTAACCAACAGCCAGGGGTCCTGCGCGTCCACAGCTTTAGCCCTCACAGCCTTTCTGTACCACAGACACTGACCACACAGCCTTTATTAATCCGAAACGTGGATCAGACACCCCGACCCCAACATCACTGAGCCCCATATTAAATTCCCAACCTGAACCAGACCCTGCGATCATCGTAAACACCACTTGCACTCCCCACAAGTGGGGTGATCGCTGAACCTCTCACCCTGACCGTCGGGACAACGGGTTGATCTCCACAGAATCTTAATTGTTGCACTGACGCCCACACCCCACAGACAGACGCGACTGGTTCTCCTCAAATACCTCAAATTAGGTTCCCACTGGTTCCCCTTAAATACCTCCACCTCGGTGCTTCTACCCTCCTCCCCCCGCCGCCCCCCGCCCCCCGGATTTGGCCAGGACCTGCTGGTAAATGTTTGAGAATAGTACAAGAAGAAAGAAGACATTTGTTAGGTGAGTTAGCGGAAGTGCCCTCGGAAATCCCCTAGGGCGGCAGATGAGGAAACTGAGGCCGGGCGGAGCGCTCAGGCGTCTCCCGCCTCCCAGCTCGGGATTCC